TTGCTTATTAATTCTCTTTACCAAATTAGTTGTCTTCTCTACTGATGTATTAAATATAAATTTTATCCATCCAATACTTAGGTGAGAGAAAAAGTAGTAATGTAAGAGAATAAATGAGAGTTTAGCAATATTATTATCAAAAATAAATGAAGAAGAAAAATTATAGAATAATATTTTAATATTGATAAAATAAAAACCCTTACCTGCTCTTGTCATACGACACTGATGTACACGTAGTAAATGCACCGTTAATTTATCAAATATATATATATATATACAGGCAAATAAACTTAAAAAGTGTATATTTTTTAAAAAATTTGTTAGGAGATTGAAGTAACACGTGTGTTGTCCACATCATTCCTCAAAAAGTGTGCCACTTCTCCACGTGGCACACTTTTTCTTTTATAAGAAAATGTAAATTCTCATTATTAAACAATTAAATAAATATGCTAATTCAATTGTTATTGGGGGATTTCCATATAGCTCTCCAAACCCAACTATTATGATTTGAGCTGGACGCTGACCTATACTCAATATCAGCCGTTCATTTCAAACGCACCGTATCGCCACCGTCCATTTACACGCGTTGCTTTTTATTATGCGGCGCGAATCCCCCAGGGAATATGCCACGTGGCAACTTTATGCTAACCCTGGTTACTTCTCGGCTCCCTTAACCCTAGTACAACCTATATATATACTATCTACACCTACCTATACATACAATTTATATATAATACCCTCCTTTTAATCTTCTTCTTCTTCTTCTTCTTCTTCTTCTTCCCCCTCTTCCTTCTTTCCCTCCCCCCACTCCCACTTTTTCGTTTGACTCTCTCCCTCTCTCTATCTAACACCAATCCTTCATTTCGATTCGTCCAAATCAGAGACGCGGAAGGTACAGATTCTGGGAAAAATAATTACTATCTCAATCTTGAGAATCGAATCTTTTTCTGCGCCTCATGATTTAGGGTTTCTGTTTTGCAGATAAATTTCTCACCGCCTTCGCTTTTTCTCTATGCGTGCTTTGCATCTCCTGTACCAGCAATGGCCGAGCGGAGATTCACGATAGGCTACGCGCTTTTGCCTAAGAAGCAGCAGAGCTTCATTCAGGAGTCCCTGGTCAATCTCTCCCGTTCCAGGGGCATAGATTTGGTCAGAATTGATACCGACCGTCCCTTAGTGGACCAGGGCCCTTTCGATTGCATCCTCCACAAGCTCTACGGCGACGACTGGAAGCGCCAGCTTGCCGACTTCCACGCCGGTTGTCCTAATGCAGCGATTATCGATTCCCCTGATGCCATCGAGCGCCTCCATAACCGGATTTCGATGCTGCAGGTCGTTTCCGAGCTCAAGATCGAGAGCGACGGAGAGACCTTTGGTATTCCGAAGCAGATTGTCATCTACGATAAAGAGACGTTATTTGATCGACAGGCCTGGGAGTTGCTCAAGTTCCCGGTCATAGCTAAGCCCTTGGTTGCCGACGGCAGCGCCAAGTCTCACAAGATGTCTTTGGTTTTCAACACCGATGGTCTTAACAAGCTCAGGCCGCCAATCGTATTGCAGGAGTTCGTCAACCACGGCGGTGTTATCTTCAAGGTTTATGTCGTCGGTGAGTACGTGAAATGCGTCAAGAGGAAGTCTCTGCCGGACGTCTCCGAGGAAAAACTGAAGAGCGTGGAAGGTTCCTTGTCCTTCTCTCAAGTGTCCAATTTGGCCACTCATGAGAAGAGTGATGACAAGTACTACAAGATGATGCATTTGGAGGACACCCAATTGCCGCCACAGAGCTTCATCACCAACATTGCCAAAGGCTTGAGGCATGCAATGAACTTGAATCTGTTTAATTTTGATGTGATTAGGGATTCCAGGATTGGGAACCGCTACCTTGTAATTGACATTAATTATTTTCCTGGATACGCAAAAATGCCATGTTACGAGACTGTTCTGACAGATTTCTTCTTAGAGGTGGTGCAAAGGAAGGGAAGAGAGGAGGGGAGGAGCTTTGGTGAGGCTTCTAGTGAGAAGGCAAGTTTTGACCGACAGATATTTAGCTGTGACGGAGAAGTGAGGAAAATGGTGTCCAATACTTGCTGCAGTGACGGGGAAGACAAGGAAAACCCCATTCACGTTTGACAGATGTGTAGGGAATAGCCGTGAATAGTAGTCAGGCTCATTTTGTTGATTGATTTCTGGTGTTCTGTTTCCAGAATTGGGTCAAGCATTAGAACCATTGTGCCAATTCCGGTACTGAACGGACTTTCCTGTTTCATTTACAGTGGTAAAATAAACAGGTCATCTTTGGGGTTAGTTTTAGCCTCTTGACAACATTACGTGGTGGTCACTGTTGATCATATGTATATTCTGTCAACCATTGCTCATGAGATAGGTACTTCTCAAATACATCGTAAGTTTTAGGGAAGTTAAGTTGTATCTGAGGCTTTAACATTTTCTTTCTTTGGGTCAGAATTTGCACTAGTTTCAAACTTTTAGAAACATTAGGGAATGGAACTTCTCCATTTTGCCAACGAAAGTTTCACTATATTATCTTTTTTTGGGCTTATTGTGGATGAACAGAGGGATGTGTTTATTATGGTTGAACAAATAAATTCACCGAGACTTATTTAAAAAGAAAAATTCATCGAGAATTGGTTAATCTGGCTTAGTTCAGAGTAGATATTTTTTGGTAAACCCACGAGGCGGATAGATGTTTGCTGCTTTTTTATCACCATGTTTTTATCTGACACATGTCATATTCTTTTCTACACTTCTCCGACAATTCTTCTAATCTTTTGAATAGTTTGCATGCTGACATATTCCTTAATTAATTCTGTGATTGCAAAGGTTAGGATCTTTTGGATGGTAGTTTGGATCGTAACTTTTGGGATAGGATTCAAAGCTCAGTATTATTATTTATCTAAGTTTCTTGACATTTCCTCTACTTTTTGATTTCTGGTACTGTATTGACTTTTTAGGTGTAGAATTTAGTTCCATCAGGATTTTAATTGATTGTTTGTACTTGGTCTATTTTTACTGCCAGTTTTTGTCTTGCTATATGGAATATTTGAAACTGATCTATGGTTGAGCGGTTTCAGAGATTCCTTTTTAGAAGTAAGTTCAATTGATTTTTGTGGTAATTGACTTATGTTGACAATAGTTATAGGAATCCAGGTGACGTGTCTTTGCCCCTAATGGAGTTTTCACGTTGGATTTGTTATTGATTCATACCATATCTGGAAGATTTGATTTGATTGGCATGTCTCATAAATGGTAATATTGTCTCATAAATGGTAATATTGTGGTTCAGGCCGTAAATATTCAATAGGATATGTGGAATTATCCTTGTTGTAATTGCGTTGATATTGGGTGAACTATATGGGTTTTTTTATAAATATCTCAAACATAACTGCATAGACGATTTTGTAGTTGCATTCCTTGTTCCTCTCTTTTTCATCCTTCAGTTACTGCATAGTGGTTAGATATTTTTACTTTCACCGGACTTCTGGAAGATGAAATGTCAACATGATGTAGGTTGCTGTTACTTTGTTGAGATAAACTGTAGTATCACCCAGAGGCAACAAGGTGGGAACTGCCTAATTACAGAAGACTTACAGACAATCAGAACTTAGAACATCCACAGGGTTCCCCAAGTCTACATCATCAAAAGTAGGATACCATAAGAACAAAATATTCAGGGTGTGGAATTAGTAATCTATAATCTTGTCAAAAGGAAAAGCAGGTGCCTCAAAAACTCCTTTGTTTCTTTCTTTGCATATGACCCAAAAGAGAGGAACAAAAATAAGGAAGTATAGATTGTCTACTTGCATTGTGGAACCAATTAAAGCCAGGGAAATGATTCTTTGGAAATGCTAGTAAAATCCCATTGTCACAAACTTTTCAGACTTCTTTTTCTTTCCAGATCTTTGAATATGCTGATGATTCTTTAATCCTGTACATGTTAGTTGGAGTCTATTTACTTCTTCTAAGAAAATCTTGTTTTCATCTAATAGTACTTCTCTTATTTCCTCATATAAATCACAGCATTTTTAATTCTAAAAATTCTTTGCATCTGCAGTCTCGTTACTTGTGCATCACAACCGACTCTTATCTTCCACAGAAAGGAGAAAAAAGAACTTTCATCTTTAACACAAGGGAAAAAAAAAGAAAAAGAAAAAAGAAGCGTTCAACTGACATTCTTCAAACTTGGTTATTTATTTACCTTAAATTATTTTTTTAAGATCATCTACCTATTTTTGTATTTTTTTTTCTAAAGGAGATGACCTACTCTGTTTACTTCACGAGTATTGTGCTGTTATTAGAATTGAGATTGTTTGTTCTAGACCCCCGTTCAGAAAAGAGTTTCGGGTTTAAAAGAAAGATGAATCCATGAAATTATGCATCAGTAGAACTGTCTTAGCTACAATTTATAATTTTCCTGTATTGGTGCTGTCAGAAGTGTTGTCAAATGGTTTGTGCTATGAAGTGTTGGTTCATGTCCTTTGCATGCAATTAACATTCTTTTCACCTTAATCATTGTGTAAAAAATGGACTTGTTCTACATTTCACTTTGGAGTTTGCTTGGCAGTATCTTAGTGTTGCAACCAAACTTGGGGCTATCTGCTTGTAATCAACCTCAAGAATAAGGGAGTTGAACTACTGACCTTGGAGCTAAGAATGGCCTCGGTGCTCCTGGATACGGTCCATCTGTTTACCTTTTTATGTTAAGATGAAATCTGGCACTCAGAATCTTAGATGCATTGGCCATCACAATGGTAAACCTTTCACTTGAGTTTTGATGATTTGTTGCTCACAACAACTGATTTTGGGTGGGAAGTTACATGCCTGATTTTGGTTGGATGTGTTGTGCAAGTGCTATGTGGAAATTAGGGGTGCGTAACTCAAGGTATCTAGTAGCTCGGATTGGTAGTGAAGGTTGTTTGGGACATGGTGTCCGTTGAGTTGTAAAAATGTATTTTCTGAGCTTGTGTATGTGCAGAGAAAGGAAGTTGGTAAAAGAGATACTTGGTTATATGAAGTTTTCTTGGAGCAACAAGGAGGAGAATAATGGTTGAGAAGGGCATAGAAGATTTTCGGGCATGGCTATTGATCTTGGTATAGTCTTACCAGTGATTCATTTTTATGATGGTGGGGGGTTCAAGTTATGTTATTATCAGTATGCATATGATGTTGGTTCTGGTTGGAGTGTACACATTGTTTTTGTAAATAGGTTTTGCATTCTCATATATTAGTATATAAAGAAAATCATGTCCGCACATGATGTGGGATTTGGGTTTCCATCTGTTTTCAAACTTTGCCTGTATTGTAGACGGGAAGCTCAAATGTAATAATGGTCAAAGATGAAGCAAGCATTGGCGGAATCTTCAACATTCTGGCGTGAGCTTATCCTGAAGTAAAGTTGACGCTAAGACTTAAAATTAACAAGAAGAAATTGAAATTTGTTGGCATAATTTATTGTATGTAGCATGACATTAATTAATTAAAGACATCCTCTCTGCTTCTGCTTCTGCTTCGTACCAAAATTAGATTTCTTAATTGATTAATGACTAATTTCTCTCCCATTTCAAATTGAATAATATCATTATTAAGTTGCGTTTAAGCCAAGTATATCCAATATCTGGCGGCAGTTATATAATAATCCTTCCTTTTTTTTCTTCTTCTTCTTCTTAGTTTCACATTATGAATGTAAATCATAGTTTTAAGGAAATTATCAGATAATAATATATTCACTCTTAATCTTTCTGATCTTATTATACATATACATATATATATATATATATACATACATACATACATACATATAGCATTAAATGAAAAAGCTTGTCAGCTTTTAAAACTACCCAACCACCATGACTTCATTTTCCCTCAAGTCTCCTCTTTCTATTTCTTCTTTTTCCCCTTTAATTTCTTTTATATCTTCCCCCATTCTCAATTTCTCGTCTTCCTTTCATACATCCACCTAATATAATTGAGTATTAATGGTTAAAAGAAATTGGGCTTTCCCTCGTAAGCATGGCATTAAATGTTTAACCAATTATATTAGCTCTATCTAATTTCTTCTTCTTTGGGAATTTAAATTGACTTTAGTTTCACTATAGACCTCTCTAACCAGGGAAAATATCATATTCAGGTTACAGCTAATTAGATATAGTGATGTAGAGGAAAATTAGAGTAGCCTTCATTAGTGGCTCTCTTGTTTGGCTTCTTTTCGGACAATGCTGGCTTCTTAAATTGTTTTATGCATCACATTGTTGCACTCCTCTAATATATATATATATATACATATATATATATATATATATGATCTACCACATATGACATTTCAGATATCTTGTAATAATGTCAAATGTACAAAATATCTCATATATTTTTTAGAGTGTCAAGAGTCTTAAATATTTATTTATTCAACAAAATTAGATTGCATGCTTAAGAGATCAAAATAAGAAGAAAAATTAGAGAAAAACCTAATAAAGAAGAAAACTTGTCTAGAGAAGAGAAGTTGAGAGAGATGAGAGGTTGTCAATCAACTTAGCCTTTGCAATTTTATTCAATTCATCAACATACTTCTTGATTACTAATTCTTATGTTATATCCTTTACAATTCTTTGCCAAAATTTGGTAAATTTTTCTATTCTAATAACAATAACCATAACAAAAAGATGATCACAAAGTTGACATAACAGTAATAAAAGAAACTAATAAGAGCATTAACGTAAGTAAGACTAATTATAACTTGATTATACTTTTTTATGCTCTACCCTAAGCTTTTTATTTTGGTTAGGCTCATGACCCTCCTCCTGTGTCGTAACACTCCTTCTTCAAGAA